CCTTCTCGTCCTTTTTTTTTTTAAATAACTCTCAGGTTCCGGACTGATATTGTCAATATTTGTCTCTTCGGGTCGGCTTTGATTCGCCGTGACATTTACTGGAGGCGGAAAAATGCACACACCTGGCTTTTTATGGAGAAGGAGAAAGGGTTTGCTGCAATGCAAAAGGCATGGTTCGTCCTCACAGAAGTTGGAATGAGCCTGGCTTTTCAGGAAAACACAGTCCTGGCTGGCAACGTGCAATGGCATATCGCATTCAATGTTATTCAATTGTTCCAAACAGGACGCGGGATTATTCCAAGTGAGTTCTGACTAAAGCAGTAGAGTGGTTCAATGTATTGTCGAAGGCTTTCATGGCCGGAATCACTGGGTTGTTGTAAGTTTTTTCAGGCTATATGGCCATGTCCTAGACTAGAGGCATTTTCTCCTGACGTTTCGCCTGCATCTCTGGCAAGCATCATCAGAGGTAGACCTCACTACCTCTGAGGATGCTTGCCATAGATGCAGGCGAAACGTCAGGAGAGAATGCCTCTAGAATATGGCCATATAACCCAAAAAAACTTACAACAACCCAGTACAGAGTGGGATTATGGCTGGATCTACACTGCCCTCTATCCCAGGATCTGATCCAAGATTATCTGCTTATTTACTTACTTACTTACTTACTTACTTACTTACTTACAGTATTTATATTCCGCCCTTCTCACCCCGAAGGGGACGCAGAGCGGATCACAGAACACACATACGGCAAACATTCACATCCATTATACGATGACAAGACAGACAACTGTACATAGATAGAGGTATATATATAGGCTTTCCCAGTCGCCAGAGGAGGCTGACTAAAATGATCAAGGGTCTGGAGAACAAGCCCTATGAGGAGCGGCTTAAGGAGCTGGGCATGTTTAGCCTGAAGAAGAGAAGGCTGAGAGGAGATATGATAGCCATGTATAAATGTGAGAGAAAGTCACAGGGAGGAGGGAGCAAGCTTGTTTTCTGCTTCCTTGGAGACTAGGACGGAACAAATGGCTTCAAACTACAAGAGAGGAGATTCCATCTGAACATGAGGAAGAACTTCCTGACTGTGAGAGCCGTTCAGCAGTGGAACTCTCTGCCCCGAGTGTGGTGGAGGCTCCTTCTTTGGAAGCTTTTAAACAGAGGCTGGATGGCCATCTTTCAGGGGTGATTTGAATGCAATATTCCTGCTTCTTGGCAGGGGGTTGGACTGGATGGCCCATGAGGTCTCTTCCAACTCTTTGATTCTATGATTCTATGATTCTATCTTCAGTATCTTGGAGGCTGTGCTCGATTCCATCCACAGGGGGTGCTGTTGCTCCATCTTCCCTACGGAAGAGCTTTGCTTGTAAACTTCCTCCTTGATCGAATTGCCAGCATTTTTCTGGCATTTCCTTATGGGTACCTTAAATAACTCCCCATTTAATGCAGTACCTATTTATCTACTTTTAACAGAGGCTGGATAGCCATCTGTTGGGGAGTCTTTGAAGGCGATTTTCTTGCTTTTTGGCAGAATGGGGTTGGGCTGGATGGCCCACCAGCTCTCTTCCAATTCTATGATTCCACGATTCTAAGAACTTCCTAATGGTGAGAGCTGTTCAGCAGTGGAACGCTCTGCCCCAGAGTGGCTGGATGGCCATCTGTCGGGGGTGCTTTGAATGTGATTTCCCTGCTTCTTGGCAGAATGGGGTTGGACTGGATGGCCCATGAGGTCTCTTCCAACTCTAGGATTCTATGACTCTATGGATACAGTTCTGGAGAAACAAAGTCTATGGAAAGTTACTTACAGATTGGGCATAAACCAAGCTGTGGCCAAATGAACTTGACCCAATTGTGTTTCCTTCCATTCACCTGCTCAGATTTGTCATGCTTTAGGTGGAGAATTATTACCCCCAAAGTGCTCACACCTCCACACCCTGCGACAAAGAGGTGATTGTGTACCTGGCAGTTGAACTCCAAGTTAAAAATAAAGAGCGGTGAGTGGAGGAAGGCTCTTAAAAACTTTTTTGTAAAACGACGACTATTCTTGTTAGCCTTGGGGTGCTGCCAACAAAATTGTCCCTGGATTCCTCTATTGCTCTCTCTCTCTCTCTCTCTCTCTCTCTCTCTCTCTCTATATATATATATATATATATCAATGCAATGTATTAGAGAAAGCAATTTTAGTAATCCTGGAGATGTATTGTCAAAGGCTTTTCATGGCCGGAATCACTGGGTTGTTGTAGGTTTTTTCGGGCTATATGGCCATGTTCTAGAGCAGTGTTCTCAACCTTCCTAATGCCGTGACCCCTTAGTACAGTTCCTCATGTTGTGGTGACCTCCAACCATAACGTTATTTTTGTTGCTACTTCATAACTGTAATTTTGCTCCTGTTATGAATCGTCATGTAAATATCTGATATGCAGGATGCATTTTCAGTCACTTGACCAAATTTGGCAGAAATACCCGATACGCCCAAAATTTGAATATTGGTGGGGTTGGGGGTGATTGATTTTGTCATTTTCTGGAGTTGCTGGGATTTATAGTTCACCTTAAATCAAAGAGCCTTCTGAACTCCATCAATGATGGAATTGAATCAAACATGGCACACAGAATTCCCATAACCAAGAGGAAATACTGGGAAGGTCTGGTGGACATTGGCCTTGAGGTTTTGGAGTTGTAGTTCACCTACATCCAGAGAACACTATGGACTCAAGCAATGATGGATCTGGATCAAACTTGGCACAAATACTCAATGTGCCCAAATGTGAACGCTGGTAGAGTTTGGAGAAAATAGACCTTGCCATTTGGGAGTTGTAGTTGTTGGGATTTATAGTTTACCCACAATGAAATAGCATTCTGAACCCCACCAACGATAGAATTGGACCAAACTTTCCGCACAGAACCCCCATGATGAACAGAAAATACTATGTTTTCTGATGGACTTTGGCGACCCCTCTGACACCCCCTCGCGACCCCCCCCAGGGGTCCCGACCCCCAGGTTGAGAAACGCTGTTCTAGAGGCATTCTCTCCTGACGTTTCACCTGCATCTAGAGGCATTCTCTCCAGATGTTTCGCATGTTCTAGAGGCATTCTCTCCTGACGTTTCGCATGTTCTAGAGGCATTCTCTCCTGACGTTTCATCTGCGAGTACTTTGAGTATCATGGTGCCTTCATTGGAGATCTGGATTAATTTCGCACACGATGGCCAACATAATGATCTGAGTATTAGACTAGACAGGGTTCAAATAATTTTTTTGAAAATATTATTTAAACTCCAAAAGATGCATTGATAACACATTCTCATTTCTGTAATCATCTACACAGTAGAAACTCAGGGAAATACTGGGTGTGATCCTATACTCAGCAATGCTAAATGAGAATGGAAAGGTTGGCATTGGGTGAGAGTTTCTCAAAAGTGAGGAAAAATGGGAAAGGTAAAGGTTTTCCCCTGACATGAAGTCCAGTGTGGTGCTCATCTCCATTTCTAAGCTGAAGAGCCGGCATTGTCCATAGACACCTCCAAAATCATGTGGCTGGCATGACTGCATGGAGCGCCGCTACCTTCCCGCAGGAGCGGTACCTATTGATCTACTCACACTTACATGTTTTCGAACTGCTAGGTTGGCAGGAGCTGGGGCTAATAGCGGAAGCTCACTCCACTCCCCGGATTCGAACCTGTGACCTTTCAGTCAACAAGCTCAGCAGCTCAGCGCTTTAACTCACTGCACTACCAGGGGCTCCTTGAATTTAGTAAAGAAATTAGTAAAGAAATGTCAACTAGGCTTTCAAACAGGCACGGACAAGAAGTTGGAAAGGGGAACATCTCCAAAGCAAATAGCAAGGATAGGGAGAAAATCGGAAGGCACCCAGGCTTGCTAGAGCAGTGTTTCTCAACCTGGGGGTCGGGACCCCTGGAGGGGTCGCAAAGGGGTGTCAGAGGGGTCGCCAAAGACCATCAGAAAACACAATATGTTCTGTTGGTCATGGGGGTCTCTGTGTGGGAAGTTTGGCCCAATTCTATCATTGTTGGGGTTCAGATTGTAGGTGAACTATAAATCCCAGCAAGTACAGCTCCCAAATCCCAAGGTCTATTTTCCCAAAAAAAACCCACGAGTGTTCACATTTGGGCGTATGGAGTATCCGTGCCAAGTTTGGTCCAGATCCATCATTGTTGGAGTCTAGAGTGCTCTCTGGATGTAGGCGAACTTCAACTCCCAAACTCAAGGTCAATGCCCACCAAACCCTTCCAGTATTTTCTGTTGGTCATGGGAGTTCTGTGTGCCAACTTTGGTTCAATTCCATTGTTGGTGGGGTTCAGAATGCTCTTTGTTTACAGGTTAACTATAAATCCCAGCAACTACAACTCCCAAATGGCAAAATCAATCCCCCCGCCAACCCCACCAGTATTCAAATTTGGGCATACCGGGTATTTGTGCCAAATTTGCTCCATTGAATGAAAATACATCCTGCAGATCATTATTTACATGGTGATTCATAATGTTAGGGTTATGGTTGGGGGTCACCACAACATGAGGAACTGTATTAAGGGGTCGCGGCATTAGGAAGGTTGAGAAACACTGTGCTAGAGAGACAATTTTTAGAACAGCCTTTGTTTACGTCCATAACAAAAGGAAAAACAAGGAGAGGATGGGGCCGTTGCATGGAGAAGCTAGAAAATGTTACCGGGAGAAAGAGAAAAAGTGGAAATACTCAACGGCTTCTTTGCCTCAGTCTCCTCCCAAAAGGCAACCTGGAAAAATGGAGCAGATTATGGAGAAGAGGGAAAGGCAGCACAGAACAGGTAAAGAGGCAGTATAAGAATATCTGGCTACTCTAAATGGGTTGGATCAGACATGGGCAAACTTGGGGCCCTCCAGGTGTTTTGGACTTCAACTCCCACCATTCCTTACAGCCTCAGGGACTTTCCTTTTTGCCCTCAGCCGCTTAAGCGGCTGAGGGCAAAAAGGAAAGTCCCTGAGGCTGTAAGGAATGGTGGGAGTTGAAGTCCAAAACACCTGGAGGGCCCCAAGTTTGCCCATGCCTGTCCTGGCTGAACTGCCTTCAATGGGGTTGTTGAAAGGACAACTTCTTGAGAACATTTCTGAAACCGTTGAAAGAGAGATAAGACACAGAAGGAAACATCCTTCCTGAGACATTTCACCCTGTTTGTTTGGTTGCAATGGGGATTTAGAGTCCTTCAACTGGAAGGCTGTTGCTTAAGTCAAAGATGCCATGATTCTCCTCTTGAAGGAGGAGCTTCTCCATCGACAGTCCACCCAGCTCTTTCCTGGTGTCTTCCAGGTCTTGAGGGACAGCTTCCGGGATTGACACAGGAAGGGGAAGGAATTGGGGGGCCGGAAGGGCCGAGGAAGCCGTCTGATATTGTAAGGAAGGAGCCGGAAGAGTAGAGATGGGTTGAGTCCATGGAAAGTAGCTCAGGGGGCCTTGTTGTTCCAACATATCCAAGTGAGGCATGACGGTCGGAGTCGAGGTGGACCTTGCCTAGTGGACAAAACACATCGGGTGGTGAGTTGGGACAAGCTCTTTGGAATTACAGCTCCCAGAATTTATTTACTGTATTTGTAATACCCTTTCTCAGTCAATCGGCGACCCAAAGCGGCTTCCAACAAATCAGTACACAAAACAGTAGATGTGGCTCTTAATGAGACATGCCGCATTATCACAGGGTGTCTGCGTCCCACACCACTGGAGAAATTACACTGTTCGCCGGTATTGCACCACCTGATCCGGAAGTAGCAGCCAATAGTGAAAGGACCAAGGCAGACATCTCCAGCCCATTCCCTGTTTGGGTATCAGCCAGGCACATCAATGCCTTAAATCAAGAAATTTTCTTAGATCTACAGAGACACTCGCGTAACACCTCAGCAAGCGAGAGTCCAAAAGTGGCAGGCTCAAACCCAGCACTTCAATCAATGGCTGATACCAAATGAGAGACTCCCCCCTGGGCACACAGAAGACTGGGTGACTTGGAAGGCGCTGAACAGACTGTGCTCTGGCACCACGAGATGCAGAGCCAATCTTAAGAAATGGGACAAAGTGGAGTCCACGACATGCGAGTGTGGAGAAGAGCAAACCACTGACCACCTGCTGCAATGCAACCTGAGCCCTGCTACATGCACAATGGAGGACCTTCTTGCGGCAACACCAGAGGCACTCCAAGTGGCCAGATACTGGTCAAAGGACATTTAACCAACTACCAAGTTTGCAAAATCTGTGTTTTTTTTTTAATCTGTGTGTTTGTTTTGTTCTGTTAGAAATGTAATACAATGGTATGGTTGCTGATGACATGATAAATAAATAAATAAAGTACACATAAAATCATAATACAGATTAAAACATTAAGACAGTATAAAACACAACAAGAGCAATGTAAACATCATTAGCATCTCCTTATTATCAGCATTGTTCAGTTACATCGTCAAGTCATATGATTTCCTAAACTAGCTACTCTGCATTTGTAAACGCTTGCTCAAACAACCATGTTTTAACTTGCCTCCGAAACATTAAGAGGGAGGGAGCTGATCTGATCTCCCTAGGGAGGGTGTTCCGTAGCCACGGGGCCACCACTGAGAAGACCCTGTCTCTCGTCTCCGCCAGACGTACTTGTGACGAAGGCGGGACCGAGAGCAAGGCCTCCTTGATGGTTCGTAAGGGGAGATGCGTTCGGACAGGTAAGTTAGGTCAGAATCCTGGTGATCTGATCCTCAAATCCCCCAGTATAATAATAATAATAACACTTCATTTATAATAATAATAATAATAATAATAATAATAATAATACTTCATTCATTACTCCCTTACAGGGAGCGGTCAACCCTCCTGTTTAAGGAGCTCCATTGGCTGCCGTTCATTTTCTGGACCCAATTCAAGGTGCAGGTGCTTACCTACAAAGCCCTAAACGGTTTGGGACCCATCTACCTGCGTGACTGCATTTCTGTATACGAACCCACACGATCTCTTCGTTCATCTGGAGAGGCCCTGCTCACGATCCCACCTGCATCGCAAGCGCGATTGGTGGGGACGAGGGACAGGGCCTTCTCGGTGGTGGCCCCACGACTCTGGAACTCCCTCCCCAAGGACATCAGGCAGGCCCCAACTTTGGCAGTTTTTAGAAGGAGCTTGAAGACGTGGATGTTCCAGTGTGCCTTCCCAGAATAAGGACTCCCAAGCAATATGTCCCAAATGCACTTTACGAGAGAGTTAGTACTGTCTGCACGCCCACCTATCTTTAAAATATCCAATCTATTTCCCTGGACATGCCCAGCATTTTAAAATTTTAATTCTTACATTTGGCCCTGCCACAGTTTTTTAATTGCGTCGTGTCATTATTGTATTGTTTTGTTTTGTTATGAGTTATTTATTGTTGTATTGTTGTTGTTATGTTTTATGATGTATTTGGGCTCGGCCTCTTGTAAGCCGCACCGAGTCCTGCAGGAGATGGTAGCGGGGTATAAATAAAGGTTTATTATTATTATTATTGTTATTATTATTATTATTATATTTGCCCTTCTCCCTGTGAAGACTCAGTGTAAATTACAGTGTAAGCAGATACCGGCAAATACTCAATGCCTTGTTACAATATAATGAGATACACAAACACAAACAAAGGCAAAGGCTTCTCCTTTCATTTCCAGCTTTGGATGCGGTGCTTATCTCCGGCTCTGGAGGAGGTGCTTATTTCCATTTCCAAGTCAAGAAATCTATGTTGTCCATAGACACCTCCTGGTTGTGTGCCCCATGGAGCATCTTATGCCTTTCCTACTGAAGCGGTACCTATTTATCTGCTCACATTTGCATGTTTTCGAACTGCTAGGTTGGCAAGAGCTGGGCTAACAATAGGAGCTCACCCCAGCCCATGGATTCGAATTGCCAACCTTCAGATCAGGAGTTCAGCAGCACTGTGAGAGCCGTTCAGCAGTGGAACTCTCTGCCCCGGAGTGTGGTGGAGGCTCCTTCTTTGGAAGCTTTTAAACAGGCTGGATGGCCATCTGTCGGGGGTGATTTGAATGCAATATTCCTGCTTCTTGGCAAGGGGTTGGACTGGATGGCCCAGGAGGTCTCTTCCAACTCTTTGATTCTATGATTCTATTATTCTAAACTTTTGCACCACCGTGGTGATCTGCTCCTCAAATCCCACCTGGTAGTTTCCCAAAGGGATCTGTTTTATCCGCAACTTTTGCAAACACCTCCAAATGAATTTGATTGATTTTGGTATTTTTCAGCTCAGCACAAACCACCCTTACAAGGATGTGACCATTGATAGCAGGCCATTGAGATTCAAAACCACTTTTTAAAGCTATTTTCTTCTGGCTGTGAAAAAGTCTCAAAAAAGTGCATTTTGGGGGGTAGAATAGTCCTAGTCTAGGACTTATTCTGTGCAAAATTCCCATGAAGTTTGCTTAAAACAGAATATTCTGCACAGAAAAGAATGCCTACATCCTTGCAACACTCCAAGCCCAGAAACTTAAAGGAGCCTTTAACTTGTGTTTCTAGTAATAACGTTGTTTGCCGAGAGTTTCTCCAAGATTTTTAGAAACCGTTTTATCCTCCTGGTGAAGAGTGTTGTGCTTTTCAATGGAAAGAGCCTCAGAAGCCGTCAGCTGATAAATCAATTGCCTTCCAAATACATCTGGAAGAAAATAATGCTGGGAACAGAACTGGAAGAGAACTGAAATCTCTCATCCAAGTCCTGCAAGCTGATATTCAAATCGGATATTCGATATTTAAGGGGAGCGAGAGACAGAACAATGCAATTTATGGCTTTCTTTCATGGCAAGAGTTTGCAAGCGGAGAATCAGAGACATAAGACTGCTTGCTTAGGCAAAACAGAGGAGCACACCATCCCTTCTGAAATGTCACAGGGACATCAAAATGCAACTACACTGTAGAATTAACGCAGTTTGGTATCACTTTAAAGGCTCTGGCTCAACGCTATGGAATCGGAAAAGTTGTAGCTTGATGAGACTCCAGGCTAAAGAGCTTCTAAAGTTACATCTCTTAGGGATCCATAGCATTGAGTCAAGGCACTTAAAGTGGTATCAAACCGTATTAATTCTACAGTGTAGATGCACCCTGAGTGGAAATTATGTCTGCATTTGAAGTAAGCTGAGGACAAAACCCAAAAGTGGAAAGAAGAGAGAAACTAAGACATTTCAAAAGCCTTTTAAAATGTATTACTATTATTAATATTAATATGCGACTTTCCTCTCTTTATTAACGAGACTCAAAGTACTAAATTGCACTAAACAGTGGCAAATAGTACTGAAACAGTACTAGATATACAATGAAAACCAAGAGACACAAAAGCAGAATTAAATCTAAATAAAAAGTGGATAGTTTTAACGGTGTTGGAGTCATAGCATCCTAGAGTTGGAAGAGTCCGCATGAGCCATCTAGTCCAACTCCTTTCTGCCATGCACGAAAAGTACAATCAAAGCACCCCTGACATATGGCCATCCATCCAGCCTCCAAGCTTCTACCAGAATGTGAAGCAGTGAGTCCCACTGTTGAACAGCTCTCCTTATGGCCAGGATGTTTTCCCTAGGGTTCATGTGGAATTTCCTTTCCTGTCATTTGAACTCATGACTTCCTAATCTCCTTCTTTGGAGGATTTTGAACAGAGGCTGGATGGCCATCTACTGGGAGGGTTTTGATGGTGCAGCCCTGCATGGCAGAATGTGTTTGGATTGGGTGGCTTGAGTTCCACAATTTGAGGTATCAATTGGAACCATTCCTTCTGACCTGAAGATAGCATCTTTCAAGTTCGGACTGAAACCCAGACCAGATTCACCACCATCCAGACCTGGGACAAGATTCAGACTCACCGTCAGGTTGGTGATCAGGGGTTGGGAGGCATAGGTCAGCACTGACGAGGTCCCCACCAGTGTGTAACTGGGGCAGACTGGCTGGACGTACATCTCCCCCGTGTAAGGGCAGCTGACCGCTTCGTGTGGCATGTAATCAGGATAGGCTGTCCATTGGGTCAATGGCTGCAGAGCGGCCGGAGAGGGTTGCGCTAGCCATCCAGAATAGAGAGTCCCATCATCCACCAATGGAGAAGCAACGAACTCTGAATCGGTACAGACCTGGCCTGGAATTGAAGGAGAAGGCAGCAAGTTCAAGGATATACGAAGCCAGCAATGCAATGGGATGGAGAAAATAGTCAAATTGGGAAGTCCTTACCTGCTGGCGAATAAGATGGGAGCGCCTGATGGGGGAAAAATACCTAAAGGAGAAAGGAAAATAATAACAGCCCTATGTATCACGATTTTTGTTCCTGGGTTATAAATGTCATTTCATAGACTCATAGAGTTGGAAGAGATCTCATGGGCCATCCAGTCCAACCCCATTCAGCCAAGAAGCAGGAAAATTGTGTTCAAAGCACTCCCGACAGATGGCCATCCAGCCTCTCCTTAAAAGCCTCAAAAGAAGGAGACTCCACCACACTTTCCTAATTGGGTCTATCATAAAAACATGGGAAAAGTTTATCAAACTACAAAAACTTTGCTTTTGCACAGCACATTTTGCTCTAGTTTTTCAATGAGTATCTCATCAAGTCTCAACCAATTCAACATAGCTTCTTTTTCCGCTTAAGCAGCTGAGGGGAAAAAGGAAATGACCTGAGGCCAGGAATTGTGGGAGTTGAAGTCCAAAACTATTGAGATTAATTTCACAATTCAGCAGCAGATCAGTTGCACAACTTCAGCGCTTTCCAGTAGCTTCTTCCTGCACAGAATTTTCAGTCAACTGCTCCCACAAACTGCAGTCACTCTGGAACTCTTTTACAGACACTTGAGCACATGCCTGGCCACTGTCAGTTTTACCATTGTCTTTCCCCCAGTCTAGATGATATTACAAACTTACCACAGCACACAGTTATATCTTGTCTTAGCAGGCAGGTTCTTTTAATCAATTACATAGAGCCTTCGACAAATCCCATCACAGCACAAGGAGAGAATATACACTCTACATGACTTCCTTATATACAATTCTATACAAAGCAATCTCTGATTGGTTTCCAACTCATTAACTTAACTCAGGCCCAGGATTACATCATTCACAATCACCTGGACTAGGCCAGAACACATTCCCCAAATGAAGTTCTATATACAGTTAATGCATGACTCAGCATTTCCAATAGAAGCCCATTAGCAGTGCATGACTCAGCTATATTACATTACAATACATTGTAAAACCCGACAAAAACACCCAAAGGGCCCAAGTTTGCCTATGCTTGATCTACACTGTAGAACTAATGCACTTTGATCCTACTTAGACTGCCAAGGCTCAATGCTCTGGAATCTTGGGAATCTTGGGATTTGGAGAGGCACAAACACTCTTTGCAAGACCTTGCAAAATTACAACTCCCAGGATTGCACAGCATTGGGCCCTGGCAGTTCAAGCGGTGCCAAACTGCATTAATTCCACAGTGCAGATGCACCCAAAGGTGATGGCAGATGATTGAGGCGGTTTTAAACAGTGGATTTTAACATCGAGATACATGATTTTAATATTTATATATGTGTATAGTTTATTTATGTCCCAGCATTGAATGTTCGCCACTTAAATGTTGAGCTCCACCCTGAGTCCCCTTTCAGGGTGAGAAGGGCGGAATATAAATATTTTAAATAAATAAATAAATAAATAAAGAGGTCTTCCTTACCGTCGTGGTGGCTGCAGTGGCTCCATTGGCATTCTGGAGGCTGCCACGCTTCCTCTTGAGGAGCTCCTTCACCGGCTCTTTGACTCGGACACCTTGGTAGGGGCGAGGGGAGGGCTGCGGAGGGGGTGGCTCTGGGGCAGAAGCTAAGGAAAATATTATTATTATTATTATTATTATTATTATTATTATTGGGTTGTTGTAGGTTTTTTCAGGCTATATGGCCATGTTCTAGAGGCATTCTCTCCTGACGTTTCGCCTGCATTTATGGCAAGCATCCTCAGAGGTAGTGAGCACCTCACTATCTGTGAGGATGCTTGCATGGATGCAGACGAAACGTCAGGAGAGAATGCCTCTAGAACATGGCCATATAGCCTGAAAAAACCTACAACAACCCAGTGATTCCGGCCATGAAAGCCTTTGACAATACATTATTGTTATATCATCATCATTATTATTATTATTATTGCAAATAGTCCCCAAGTTACAAACATCTGACTTAGAACAGGGGTGAGACAACGGCAAGTGAGAGGAATCTTCACTCAGAAGGGAAATCCACTCCTGGAAGAGTTATTATCATGGGGGAAAATGTGTCTCCACTGAAGCTTTATCTCCAATCCTTGTTTCCACAACAAGCCACATTTTTCAGAATCCTATTTTCACAGGGATGGAAAGTGAGGTGGAATCTTCTGACCAGGGACTCAGACAGCAAAGGAAACCTCACAGGAGTGTTAACCGTTCCCTATGCTAACCAAAGCTAAAATAGATAGATAGATCATAGATAGATACTAGATATGGTTGAATGACAACTAATGCCTCCACCTTCGTTGCTTGGGTTTGAATGGGAATATTTTAATAAATCAAACGCAGAAATAATCCTTAGAATGTGCTCTTTAACCACCACTATTCACTTTTCAACATTATCACCAGACAATTCGATACATTTCTGCCAACGATGAACAAGTTTTCTGAAGCCATCACGGAAGAAGTCAACACTCTGTTTCCGCAACCCATTGTGCACAGATTTTCCAATAGCCAACAAAGTAATAATGTGACCCACACGTTCTTGTGAAATGCTGATTATGCTTGAAATTTCTCTCTGAGTGAAACGACAACTGTCCTGAATCAATCTGTCAACCTTTTGCTTGGGTAACTCGGTGTTGCTGTCACAGGACATTTATTTATTTATTTATTTATTTGGAGCATTTATTAACCGCCATTCTCAGCCCACTCGGGCGACTCACGGCGGTGTACAGTACAAAAGGCAATTCACACAAAGACAAGTACAACAGCATATTAACCATACAACAATACAACAGTTAAAATTACACTAACTAATCCGCTTCGTCTCGTAATAGAATCGTGACCAATCTCGTATTCCTTGTACCATTCCAGTCGTCTTTACCACATTACTATAGCACTTAATTAAATGCCCTCTCGAACAGCCACGTCTTGAGGCTTTTTCGTAAGGATGAGGGAGGGCGCCTGTCTGATGTCTGCAGGGAGGGTATTCCACAGCCGGGGGGCCACCACCGAGAAGGCCCTATCCCTCGTCCCCGCCAGGCTTGCCTGTGAGGCAGGCGGGATCGAGAGAAGGGCCTCCCCAGACGATCTCAAGGTCCTCGTGGGCTCATAGGCCAAGATGCGGTCTGAAAGGTATTTTGGGCCGGAGCCGTTCAGGGCTTTGTAGGCCAACACCAGCACCTTAAATTGGGCCCGGTAGCAAATCGGCAGCCAGTGGAGCTGGGACAACAAGGGTGTTGTGTGCTCCCTGTATCCCGCTCCAGTTAGTAACATGGCTGCCGCACGCTGAACCAGCTGAAGCTTCCGGGCCGTTTTCAAGGGCAGCCCCACGTAGAGAGCGTTGCAGTAGTCAAGGCGGGATGTGACCAGAGCGTGTACCACCGTGGCCAAGTCAGACTTCCCAAGATACGGGCGCAGCTGGCGCACAAGCCTAAGCTGTGCAAATGCTCCCCTGGTCACCGCCGAAACCTGGGGCTCCAGGCTCAGCAATAAGTCCAGGATCACACCCAAGCTGCGAACCTGCGCCTTCAAGGGGAGTGCGACCCCATCCAGCACAGGCTGTAACCCTATACCTCGTTCGGCCTTGCGACTGACCAGGAGTACCTCTGTCTTGTCTGGATTTAGTTTCAGTTTGTTTCGCCCTCATCCAGACCGTTACAGCGGCCAGGCACCGGTTCAGGACCTCGACAGCCTCCTTAGTAGCAGGTGGAAAGGAGTGACAGAGTTGGACATCATCTGCGTACAGATGACACCGCACCCCGAAACTCCGGATGATCTCACCCAGCAGCTTCATGTAGATATTAAACAGCATGGGGGACAGTATAGAACCCTGTGGAACCCCACAAGTCAAAGGCTGTGGTGTTGAACAGGAGTCCCCCAATAACACCTTCTGGGTACGACCCTCCAGAAATGACTGGAGCCACTGCAGAGCAGTGCCCCCAAGACCCATCTCTGCAAGGCGGCCCAGAAGGATACCGTGGTCGACGGTATCGAAGGCCGCTGAGAGGTCCAGGAGCACCAACAGGGACACACTCCCCCTGTCTAGCTCCCGGCGCAGATCATCCACTAAGGCGACCAAGACCGTCTCGGTACCATGTCCCGGTCTGAAGCCAGACTGTGCCGGATCCAGAATATCCGTGTCTCTCAAGAATACCTGGAGTTGTGAGGCCACCACGCTTTCCATGACTTTGCCCAAAAAGGGGAGATTGGAAACAGGCCGAAAGTTGTCGAATTTAGTGGGGTCCAGTGATGGTTTCTTCAACAGCGGTTTTATAACTGCTTGTTTTAAGCACGCTGGAATCTTGCCTTCCCTAAGGGAGGCATTAACCACCACCGTTACCCACTCAGCCAATCCCCCTCTGGCCTCCTTCAGAAGCCAGGATGGGCAGGGGTCTAGGATGGACGTGGTGGGCCTCATTCCTCCAAGTATCTTGTCCACATCCTCGGGTTTCACAAACTGAAAAGAATCCATCAAAAGAGGACAAGCAGGTGCTCTTGTTACATCCTCTGAGACTGCATTTAACGCGGCGTCCAGCCCAGAACGGATCAAGGCGACTTTGTCTGCAAAGAACCGAGCAAATGCTTCACAGCGCGTGACCGAATTGTCAGGGCTCCCGCCAGAGGTGGCGGGAGTTAAAAGACCTCTAACAATCCGAAACAACTCCGCCGGACGGTTCTTTGCAGACGCAATAGTGGCCGCAAAGAAAACTTTCTTTGCGGCCTTTATTGCCGCGGCATATGCCCTAAGAAAGGACACAAACCGTGCTCGGTTTGACTCGCTTGGATCCGAACGCCACACGCTCTCTAGTTCCCTCTTCCTTCGCTTCATCACTGCCAGCTCCTCAGTAAACCAAGGGGCTGGTTTAGCTCGGCTACTTGAGAGGGGACGCTCCGGAGCGATCATGTCAATTGCCCTGGTCATCTCCCCATTCCAGAGAGCGACCAAGGCCTCGACATGGTCACCTACCGAGGTGGCGGGAAAATCCCCAAGAGCCGTCAGGAATCCATTCGGATCCATCAGTCTCCTGGGGCGGACCATCTTAGTGGGTCCTCCACCCTTGCAGAGGTTAGGGGGCGCAGTGAGCCTAAATCTGATCAGGAAGTGGTCGGTCCATGGCAACGGAGAGATGGACAACTCCTCCACACCGCCACCCTGCTCCCATCCCTGGCAGAAAACCAAGTCCAATGTATGTCCAGCATAGTGGGTGGGGCCAGATATTTGTTGGGACAGCCCCATGGTTGCCATGGCAGACATGAAGTCCTGAGCCGCTCCTGTGAGGGTCGCCTCGGCATGGACATTGAAGTCTCCCAGCACAAGAGCCGTTGAGACTCCAATGCCAGGCTCGAGACCACCCCCGCTAGCTCAGGTAGGGAGACTGTAGTGCAGCGAGGTGGACGGTACACTAACAGAATCCCTATTCTGTCCCGGTCACCCACCCTCAGGTGAACGCATTCAAAATTTGTGGTCTGCGGGATGGGGCTCCTGGTCAGATGGATGGAATCTCTATAGACCACTGCGACCCCGCCTCCCCGTCCTCCGGATCTCGGTTGGTGCTGTGCGGAGAAGCCTGGAGGACAAAGCTGGGTAAGATTTACGCCTCCAGCTTCATCCAGCCAGGTCTCCGTGATGCACGCCAGATCTGCCCGCTCATCCAGGATTAAGTCCTGGATCCAGGTCGTTTTTCCGTTGACAGACCTGGCGTTCAGCAGCACCACCTTCAATCCGGAGGGCCCGCTCACCTGGTTACACCAATATACCTTAGGAGACCGGTTTAGGGTTGTTAATGTTGGTAAGCGGTCCGAATTAAGCCGAATTTGAGGTCTCCTTTTACCGCATCTCCTCCTCCCCACCACGACCTCTATGGGGGCCCCTCGGCTAGTGGAACACCTCCCCTCCTCCATGCCGCAGTCCAGCACCAAGGTCTTATTTCCAATATCGCTCGAAGTTTGGATTGTTGGCCTTTGCCATCTCCCTTGCCTCCCCTCCTCCCCCCTCCCCGCCCCATCCTTGTTCACAGGCTCCAGCCCTCCTCCTCCCCTGCCCCCTCCACTAGTCAGCAGTAACAGGGACAGAACAAATAGGGGGATGGGGAGCCACATGGATAACAATAGATTCAGGTGGGGCTAGGCGTTCAGCCACACCAGTTAAACAGTTCGTAAAGTGCAAGAGACTTAAATGCCACCCAGTCAGTAATATCACTCAATCAACAACATACTGCGTACCGTTGGGCACATACATAAAGTGCAAGATCTAAGGTGCAGTACATAAAGTGCAAGATCTAAGTGCAATAGATACCCAAACTGGTTCTCTCAATTAACTAAAGTGCGGCATAGAGGAAAAGGATGGGGGCGTAGTGCTGGTATAATTTAGCAGCAGTGGCAGGCGCCTTAAAGTGCTATTGCGTTCTTGATCAAATTAGCAGCAAACGACAACCAAGGGGTAACTGAGGTAGTGATATGTAATCACACTCTCACAAGGATGATGGTAATAGTAATTGGATAAGGTTATTAAAATTGTTATGATTCAGATGTAATCCCTAGACGGTTGGTCTAAAAGCGGATGGGTCATCCGGCGATGTCAACACAGCGGCGGTCAGCACAGTTGAACTACGATGATATCTCT